CACATTTGGAAGTATTTAATGACTTATTTTCTTGGCAGGACTGAAACCCTGCAGACTGATTCATGATGAATTCTGGAGTTTATTAAAGATGTTCCTGCCAGGTTTATTTTTACACCAAAAAGATCCCCTTTTTCCAACAACAAATTCCAATTTCCAAGACAGAACTGATTCACTTCTATCTCCTCCACTATTATCACTCACATGCTCTGTACATTACAATGATTTGATGTCTTTATTGGTAATAGTGCTGCATCGAACATCATGTCTTATTTAATCAGCCTAAAATGTATTAAACCACAAGGTCACCTGTTATTTTAACAATAGTTCAAGGACTGAACAGATGATTTGGCTAATTTCTAACCTAAAAATCTAGTTTTAAAAAGGCAAAACTGCTCCAAAAACTACGACAGTGGTATTGGATTTGCACCAACTACTATTAGAGCTGTACCTTAAATCCATATGTCATTTAGGGACCTGAGCAAATGCTCCAAAAAATGTATGTCTTAAGACTAAAAAGTTGCACATCTTCACTGTCTATGCAGTTACTCGTTCATAGAGAGGCGAAGTCCCTCCCTTTCCTCCATGGGACCTTATTTCGGAAAAGGTATGTATTGAAGTCGATGGCGAGAGAAAGATTATCTTTCGATCCCGTTTGAATTGTGCCACGAATTACACATATGATGTTTGTCAATTTAAAAGATAATTTTGCAAATCAAAAAAATTACAAAGTGTCGTAAAACTGTGAAGTAACACTTTTTTTTTTGTGAAACCGCTCAATGAACTACATCTCCCGTCTCGCACCACACACCAAGACGGCCGTCACGTTGAAACATTTCACTCCTTTCTCTCAGAATAAGGCGAAAAGTATAAAAAGAGGTGAAAATCACTACAAGTCTGTTAAACGCTATCGATTCAAACGGCAGCGTTTTATTAATATTTAGTTTCAAGCTCTCGTTCTTAGTAAAAACAAAACTAGTGGAAAGGGAAATGCTCCCAGGGGAAGCTGATCCATCGGCGCTGGGACAGCTCGCTCCCTCTCTGCAGCTCTATGAGCCGCGGTCTGTGTGAACGCCGCTCCGCAGTTTAATGCAGGGCTGTAGCTGCGTTTTTAACGGGCCTAAAATGATATTTAAAATGATTCACTTTTAACTAATGTAATGCTTGTTTAGTTGCTTCAGAAGCTTGTGGAAATAGTGTAGGTTTGTTTTAGTACAGTTTTAGGGAAACAACAGTTAGGGGGGCAGCTGGGGGGGCAAGGCTCTACAGACCACGGCTCGCAGCTGCCCCCCCTTGCCCCCCCGTAGATCCGCCCCTGAAGTCTGGGCATGTTGAGAGCTGTACATACTGTACACACAAGGGGAGTTAGTCGGTTCCGTGAGAGCCAGCATGCGGGACCGGGATTCTGGGATTTGTAGTCTTTCTAGTTGCGTATTTTTCATAGTCTTATATTTCAACAGTTTTACCGACAAACTGTGACTTTTTTGACATGGAAATTATTTTTTAAGGTTGACAAACATCATATGTGTAATTCGTGGCACAATTCAAACGGGATCGAAAGATAATCTTTCTCTCTCCATTGACTTCATTACATACTTTTTCCGAAATAAGGTCCCATGGGTCGGAAGTAGATGGGCGGGACGTCGCCTCTCTATTAGTCCCCTTGTAAGAAACTAAATCAATGCATCATTCTGCAGAGAAAACAAGTTCAACTAAAGGAAAAAACATTTAGTAGGCTAAAATCTTCCCATGGCAACACACACATAAGCCTGCCGCTCAGTAGCTATGAAATTATGCAGCCCAGCAGTTATGTACAAAGCCCATTTTCTCCTCATTGTAATCAGCGTGTGGAATAATGCGGCTCATTTGGGCTTTGACTTTGTCAGCAGTGTCATCGGGCTGTAATTATAATCTTTATTTCAGACTTGTACAGAGATTTTAAGAAGTACTAGACTCTCTGTGAAAAGCAAAGGTTTCTCCAGTTTACTTAACCACTCTGCTAAAAAACGAAAAACACCACCAGTTCTCTGTAACCCGAGTAGAAGCACATACCAACCCACTGCAGGCCAAAAAATGTGAATGAACCTGGCAAATAACAACCGGTCAGCAAAAGGGATTCTATATGTTTGCTTTTGACACGCAGCAGACTAATGGCATGCAGCGGTTGCTTCACACATATCAGTGTGTGGCAAAGAGTCTATTTTGGGCACAAGAGAGGTTGCATCATATTATAAGAAGGCCCGTGCACATGTTTAACCCCTGCCAGCTATCCAAATATGGCGCAGTAAGTGAACCTTCAAGACTCAGAAGTGGGCATCCAAGCTTTTTCTGCTCTGCATGAAGTTTGGTGAGAGGTTAATGTAGGTACACTTGAGAGTAGAACCACACCTGTGCTCTGGGAACAAACTGTAACTTAATAACCTGAACAGTGTGGCTTCATACCGGCTGTTTCTGCCACCTCCATGCTGGCTACTGGATCAGGGGCCGCTTTAGAGAGAGAAGAAACAAAGCAAACTTTCATAAGTATTTACAAGACAAACAAGGGTCACGTCTTGATGTCACTGTGTTATAAATTACCTATGACACCATATCAACACATGACTAACACTGACTTGTTGACTAGTTAGTAGTGGTGTAAAGTAACGTAAGTATTTACTCAAGTTCAATATTAAGAGACGTGTACTTTGCTTGAGTATTTAATTTTTTAGCTACTTCTACTCCACTACAACTCAGAGCAGGTATATCATGTACTTTTACTCCACCATTTCTTTAATATCTTTAAAGATTTGGATTAAGGATGTGAAATATAATCATAATTAGACTTTAGTTCCACCTGGAGTCAATTCACAAGCTACCCTCCAGTATACAAAGTCATTCAAACTAGCTGCACCTTTACCAGCTTTGATAACACTTTAATGATCAATCATTATAAAACATATCATAAATATTGTTCTGAAATGGTCCAATTTGCATAATGAGTACTGTTGGTACTTTAAGAATATTTAAATGCCAATACTTTTACTTGAGTAACATGTTGAATGCAGTACTTTAACTTGTAACAGAGACTTCCTTCACTCTGGTACTTCTACAATATCTGAGTACTTCTTCTCCCACCTCTGATAGTTTAGCTTTAACTGTACTGCAGGGAGGAAGGCTAACTAACTTAGCTTGGGTTAGCATGCTAAGCTAAGCTACTTCCAGCTGGCTGTCACCCACCGACTGGCGCTGGTGTCTCTGCGGGGCTTGCTTGAAAGAAGCTCGGCACAAACACCGCGGCGTTCACGTTGGGGACAAACGGCTTGGCATTAACGTTAAGGGCGGCAAATGAGGCCTGAAGATCCGCAGCAACAGCCAGGGCCTCGGCATCCTCCTCCTCCAGCTCCCATGAATCCGGGGCTGTGTCTCTCGGGTCCATGGCTGCCTTTTCCCGGGTTGACAGGCTCGGGTACCCCGGTAAGGTGGATGGTGGATGTGGGGTCCGCTAACACGCGTTTAGTAGCCGGTATGTTTTAGACTCTCGGCAGCAGGTTTGGAGAAGTTGCCATTGCTTTGTTGAGCCTGAGCTTTTTCACAAGCATATGGATCCCGTAGCCGACGAGAAGTGCCGCTGAACAGCCGCTGTAGGAGCCGGGAACACCGCGAGAGGCGCTGCTGCTACCGGGGATACTGAACACATAACTATACACTATGAACACATAACTATACACTATGAACACATAACTATACACTAATGTACACATAACTATACACTACTGTACCGCAACTATACACTAATGTAACTTCACTACTGTACACATAACTATACACTAATGTAGAATACTGTACACACTATACACTACTGTACACACTATACACATAACTTTACACTAATGTAGAATAACTACACTACTGTACACATAACTATACACTAATGTACACATAACTATACACTAATGTAGAATAACAACACTACTGTACACATAACTATACACTAATGTATAATAACTACACTAATGTACACACTATACACATAACTATACACACTATACACTAATGTACACAACTTTACACTAATGTAGAATAACTACACTACTGTACACATAACTATACACTAATGTACACATAACTATACACTAATGTACACATAACTATACACTAATGTACACATAACTATACACTAATGTAGAATAACAACACTACTGTACACATAACTATACACGAATGTACACATAACTATACACTAATGTAGAATAACAACACTACTGTACACATAACTATACACTAATGTATAATAACTACACTAATGTACACACTATACACATAACTATACACACTATACACTAATGTACACATAACTTTACACTAATGTAGAATAACAACACTAATGTACACATAACTATACACTAATGTATAATAACTACACTAATGTACACACTATACACATAACTATACACTAATGTACACATAACTTTACACTAATGTAGAATAACTACACTACTGTACACATAACTATAACTACTGTACACATAACTATACACTAATGTACACATAACTATACACTAATGTAGAATAACTAAACTACTGTACACATAACTATACACTAATGTACACATAACTATACACTTGTGTACACTCAACACTACTGTAACAATATATAGTCAATATAGTCATAATGTTACCTCTAATTGTACCTTTATTTCTGAAGCTCAATACATACAGTGGTTGGCTACTCAATTACAATTTTAAGGTTCTTATTTTATATGTATATTCCACTGTAATTAGGAGACACATTTTATATATTTATTTGAATACTGTCCAATAATTAAATTAAATAATGTATGTATTATTATAGGTTAAGATACACTTCATTGATCCTTTGCTGAAATACAAATACTTGTAAAGAGTATTTTTAGAAAGCTGAATTACTACTTTTACTTAAATAAAAAATCAGAGTAAAACATCCACCATTCAATCTGAGGAATTATACTATTAAAAGAAGTACATTACAAACTGTTGTCTTATTTATTTTAATATCTAAGAAACATGGGGAACAATACTACAAAACTATAGATATAATAAATACATCAAAAGTACAACGGTACAATATGGTCAGTTTAAATATAATAAGTTAATACAAATATAATAAATAAATCTTACAAGAAAACAACTTCAAACTGACAAGAACAGGGACTGTGATAACTGTGTTTCTTCTCCTCAGCGTTCACTCCTTGGCATCAGACACTCCTCCGGCACAGATGGCGAACGTGGCCTCGCTCTCAGGCATATCGGGACTAAAGGATACCAGGCAGAGATCAAAAGGAAGTGTGAGTTCATAATGTTTTCATTTTTAATATAATATTAGTTAAACATCTCACAGTTTATGTAACTGCAGGCACACAACTCTTATCAAATCATCCCACCACCTTCATATTTACAAGTAGGCCTATGTTAACATGGGCATGTACAAAAATGGTATTAATAGTTGTTTTATACTCATATCATAAAATAGATTTGGGTGTAATATTACTTTAGCACACAAAATGTTGCGATGTTAAAGGGGACCTATCATGCAAAATGCACTTTTTGATGTCTTTTCTACATAAAGATGTGTCCCCGGTGTGTCGGGGAACTCACGCAGCGTCAGAAAATAAAACCCTCTCTCTTTTCCTCCGTACCCAAATCTCTAAAAACGGGGAACAACGGAGCTGATCCAGATTTGCATCCAATATGACGTAATATCTGAAATGTGGACCCACGGCCCAATCAGAAACGTTGCTATCAGAAACAATGCGCGACTGTTTTGGACGTAATATGGTCGGTGTTTACATTAGCATCGCTAACACTCAGAGCTAACCTGTACTGGAGAGCATGTGTGTGAAGAAGCAGGAAATAAAAAGGAACTCACCTTGTGGTATAACCGGCAAGAGAGAAAGCCTTTGAGCTCCAGACTGTTTCAGAGAGAATCCTTGATAATCCATGATATGGCGTTTCATCACGGCAGCATTTAGTTTAGACAGTAGCTGCCGGGTCCCGCATGAGCTCAGACCCTCCTCTTTTTATTATCAATTGGCTAGAATGGGTGATCTGTTTGGTATTTTGAGCAAAACACTTCATAGACGTGTTTTTTATATATTTGTATATATCTGAGACCTATGCTGTTGCCTAAAAGTAGCATGATAGGTGACCTTTAAAGCAAAGTCCAAGACTCTTTTATGGCTTGAGTTTAGTGAAATAAGGAAATAAATCTAACATGATAGACAGAAAACCTTGATGTGACATCGCAGCATCTATTAGGATGTTAAATCTAATATCAATTTGTTAAACTTATCTCATCTGACAACAAAGTAAGGGGGAGGTAGTCTTCATATTGTGCATCATAATTCAATGAGTTAAAAAAGTTCTGTGATATTTTAAATAAAAACAGTGACCTACCTGTCAAATATTTTGGCAATTCTCATCTCGGCACGCCCTTTCCTCAGACTGATCCGTGTGGTGGAGGCGTGGGCCAGGATGTGTCCTCCAATGGGCTTCTTGGGATCGGCTTGAAAGCTATAACAGAACAAATCATAGGAGCGTCACACAGATCCCTATTTATTTAGTTAATTATGAATTTTGAACTAGTGTTTTTCTTTTTAAACGTTTTTAAATATTTTGAGATTTGACGGAGCAGGGTGTACTTTTATTAGAGATGTGTCTGTGTTTGTTTTTAGAGTGTGTCAGGATGGATCCCTTCGTCTTTTTATCTGCAAACTTAATCTACCTACGGGTACAAATAAAGAACCTGAACCTGAAAGCTAAAACAGAGACAGAAAAATTATAATGAGACATATTTACAAAGCTTTAAAGGTCCCATGTCATGCTTTTCTGGTTATCACCCGTCCCCTTGTTGTTATGAAGGTTTTTTTGCATGTAAACGGTCTGCAGAGTCACAAACCCTCAAAGTACACCCTGTAGCGAGTACAACTCTAACACAGAGAAGACCTGTCTGTGCTGCCCCAGAACGCCTCGTTGGGGATTTCTCTTTTTCCATTGTTTACTTCTTGGGTACAGTGACGTATTTCGGGTATAGTGACGTAACGTAGCGGCTAACGTTACATTACGTTTGGACCAATCCGCGGACTTCCTCACACACACACACTCAGCTGGACGTTGCGAGGCTCGCTGCTGCGAGGTGTGGGGTCTGCGAGACAGCGAGACACCGCGGAACTCAGCCTGAGCACACACACACACACACTCCCAGCCAGGCTGCGGGTGTGTGTGTGTGTGTTTCACACTGGGTTCCGCGGTGTCTCGCTGTCTCGCAGACGGCCACTGGGCTCACAGGGAGGGGGGGGGCAGGAGCTCCAACGAGCCGTTTAGGACAGAGAGTGAATACACATACTATACAGAGATGCTGTGAGAAACCAATGTGAGTTTGGAACATTGCACAATCTAAATCTATTCTAGTCGACCTCAACAATGGAATTATGATCAGTAGAAATGGCCATGACACGGGACCTTTAAGCGACATACAGAATATTATCCAATGTATTAAAAATTAGGAATTAGACAACACCTACCTCATTCCTGCCCCAGGATCAGCTGTCATTTGGTTGGTGACAAACACTGCTACGTTGTATTCTAATGTTTTAGAACAATAAAACACATAATTAGATTAATACTGTATGCATATTTGAGAGCACCATGTGAGACACAAAGGCAGCACTTTTCAATAAACAGCAATAATCATTTCTGCAGAGACTCCCTGTATATGTCAGATAAGATATATGGCTATATTTGTGTTATCTTTACTTCTTTCAGGTATTCCCATGGTTCCACGTCCTTCTGAGAGGGAATATTTTCCTTTCTTAATGGAATTTTGTTTTGGGAGTAAACAGGTGGAAGTGCTACATACTGGTTACTTTCAAGGCCATATATTTCAAGGTCACATGCAACAGATGTTTTAGCTGACTCCTTTGTATTCATTGTTCGTAGGAGTATCTCTGTCACTTGAAGCTGCTGTAGATCGGACTCTGTGCAAAAGGTAGCCGTACTACCTGGGTCCAGAAAGGCGTATGTTGTTATGGTTACATGTTAGACGCTTTACCCTTTTTTGTTTTCACCTTCACAGGAACAATAGCCAGGGTGCCTACGTTTTGGCTCCTATAGCTATTGTATCTGGCTTTCACACACACTGACACACAGAAACACACTCACACAGACACACACACTCACACACTAGGGGTTTCACCAACTAATCGACTAGTCGACTACCTTTACCACTAGTCGGCGCTGTAGGCCCTAGTCGACTAGTCGTGAAAAAAATGGAGGTAAACGAGCTGCTGCAAAATGCTTCAAAACACGTCCGACATTCTTATGTATGGCAGTACTTCAACAAAGATGTAACCAACTCCACAGTGAAGTGTCAGTTGTGTACAGCTGTACTGAAGTACAACAAAAATACATCTGCTATGCGCAACCATCTGAAGATGAGACACCCGCTGCCGACAGCTAGCACTAGCAGTAATGCTAGCACCAGTGAGCAACGGACCGGCGTCAGCACAGGACAGAGGCAGACGAGCAGCAAGAAAAAGCGGGTCAACAGTGATGCGGATGATGAGCTAGGGTTTACTGCCAGCGGACACCGCATATCCCCACAATGGATAACCCACTGGAGTGGTGGGCAGAAAATGTGCACCGCGTCCCCCGTTTAGCCAAGCTTTCGAGGAGCTACCTGGTTATTCCAGCCACAGGCACCCCGAGTGAGAGGGTTTTCTCCCTGGCAGGCAACACTGTCACCCGAAAGCGGTCACGCCTCCTTCCCTCACATGTCGATGCGTTGGTGTTCCTCAACGCAAACCAAACAATCTGGAAAGGTGGACGTTATCGTGGAGGACAGCGAGTAAAGTGTTGCGCACTGGATTTACGTGGCATTTCAGTAAACAGAGTTTTTTGCTGTCGATTTTGGTGAGTCCAGTTACTGTTTGTTATTTACTCAGCCATGTAACACAAATTAAAATGCAGTGTTTAATGTAACTGTATGAGTTCCAATATAAAATACAGTTGTACACCTCTCTTTGTGTGTCTTTATTATGACGTAACGACTAGTCGACTGCTATTTTGAAAAACGTGTCGACTAGTAAATATTGGTAGTTGTGAAACCCCTATCACATACACACATACACACACACACACACACACACACACACACACACACACACACACACTCACACAGAAACACACACACACTCACTCACTCACAGACACACACACACACTCACACAGAAACACACACTCACTCACTCAGACACACAGAAACACACACACACTCCTGGTGTTGACCTTCAGAGATCTTCTGCAGCCTGGAGAGCATCTGGGCCAGTTTCTGCTGCCGCTCAGCCAGCTCTCCTCGTCCAGAGAAGTCGACTCTGAACAGAGCCATGATGGAGTCAATGATCTGAAACAGAGAGACGAGCAGATAGAAATACTGAGACAGCTAGGAAGGAATTTAGAGTGTCTACCTGTTGTTTGACACAAAAACATCATTCTCTACTCACCAATAGTTTGAACACTCCTCCTTCCTCGTGGAATTTGGCTGCGACAAAGTCCAACAGCTCCATCTGGTGTTCACCTGAGGAGCAACACACAATATTATTATAACCTTGCCACAGGAGAGCCTTTGCACACAATAAATGTTTCATAGTCTAGGGCAGGGGTGTCAAACTCAAGGCCCGGGGGCCAAATCCGGCCCGCGACTTCATTTTATGTGGCCCCGCAAGAGCTTGCAAAGAATATAATACGTTTATTATACGGTTACATGCCACTTTACAGAAGCTGGTTGCCCATAAACTACATGTCCCACAATGCATCTTGTTTTGTGACATGCGCACCGAAGAGACTTGCAATTATTTGCCCTGGACTTCTGCTTTCAAATGTAGTTAGTTATTACCCTACCCGATAATAATCCAATTCAGAGGCAATAATGTAATATAATACATTATTTTATATATATATTTATAGATGTATATTTATATAGTTACAACCGGCCCTTTGAGTGCAACCATAATGCTAATGTGGCCCGCGATGAAATTGAGTTTGACACCCCTGGTCTAAGGGATTTCTATGTTCGCACTGGTGTAGGCCCGAGCGTAAAGCACGTTGTCCAGAACAGCAGAATGGTCCACATTGAACCTGTCAGCGATGTCTTTCAGTCTGTCTGGACGACTGGAAGCACGCAGGTACAAGTCAAGGTCATTGTGAAACAGAATGACAAGAATACGGATTCACAGACATAAAAACAGTCATGGTAAAGTCACATTAGGACAACTAGTGGAAAATTAGCTCATTTCTCCCGTGTTATTCTCCAAAGTTAATGTAAACTTGAATAATGTACTTAAATTTGAATGTAATAATTATGTTGGTGGTTGTTTGTGGAAGCGCCAGTGAATGAGCATTAACTGAGTTTTAAACATCACTTTAAATGGAAGATCCCCATAGGCCCCGCCCACTCGATCGGCCGATACTGATTCCGGCGATCGGCCCCAAAATCGTCAAACTTCAACTAAACTGTTTGGTTGTTTCCATTATTGTGAGGATACAAGGTGTTCTCTGTGTCAATGAAGACGACTTTCCCGCCTGAGTAGCCGTTCTCTCCGGGAAGCTGAGCAGTGACTGGACAAAAGAAACACAGAATCAGTTTTATTTGAATTTTTAAAAAGTGCCTGAAAGATGAAGCATCGCATGCTTTAAAACGTTCTTTACTCACCACAGAAAGTGTGAGAGAGCTGGGTTTTCCCTGTGCGGAACTCTGTAGGGTGAAATAAAGCAGTTTTAGTTTGTAGCCAGTGCTGTAAACTGATTGCCATTAAAACAATATAAAGATACACAGTGTATTTAAATGAACAAAGACACCTCCTCACCTCCAAACGCCTCCGTTATAGCCATACTCTCTATTCCTCCACCCAAGAGTTTACTGCAGAGAGAAAAATAAGTTTGAATATTTGTTTAGACATCTTTAATTTGATTTAGCAATATCTGGTTTTCTAAACATCATTTTTAAATGCCAGTTTTATGGTTATGTCAAATAATTTGGTCCTTCCTATCCTTGTCCGGCAGTGGCTCAGTCAGTAGGGGCTTGGACTGTGAGCCGTAGGGTCGCCGGTTCAAGTCCCCGACCAGACCTAAAATATGGGGTGTGGACTGCTACTTGGAGAGGTCCCAGTTCACCTCCTGCCCTGCCGTGGTGCCCTGTGAGCAAGGCACCGGACATCCCCCCACCCCCCCCACTTCCCGGGCGCTGTACACTAGCTGCCCACTGGTCCTAGTACTAGACTCCTGGTACTAGGATGGGTTAAAAGCAGAGAACGTGTGTGCTGTGTGCGCAGCTCTGCATGTGTGACCATTAAAGAGGGTGTCATCCATCCCAATTGTTTAATGGGACAATATTCTGGTTATGACTATTGCTAGTGCTTTAACAAAGCAATCATTAGTCATTTGGATTAAACAAACAAGCACATTTTTCCTTTTGCTTTAGTAGAAACGTCCTATGAATAAAGAAATAGTCTCAATGAACTTTGACGTAGCCTTTAGGAATACGATAAGACATATTTAAGCTATATCACAATAATAAAACAACTAAAGTTTAGAGGATAACATATTATGTCATGATATCTTCAACCTTGAGTAGATGTAAATGCACAAAATACACATAATATATAAACTTTAAGAGTGAATCTTAACTCAAACTCCAGGCTCCCGGTTGTGATGTTGAACACCTGCTTCCTCTTCGAACTGTACTCGAAGGCTGTCTGGAAACCAACATTCTATAATGTAAAATAAAAATATCTAATACATTAAATATTCTGTAATATTCTCAAGTAAGTCAGTCTTGAGGCGACAAAGTTGAAGGTTGAAGAATGACAGTGAAAAAGAAATCCCATTTTACCAGCATTTTCCCAGCAGCCTCCTTGATCTTCTCCACCTTAGCCTCAGACAGACCCTTGATGTTGCACAAAGCCTTACGAGTTGTCATCTGGATCCCTTTCACAGTGCAGATACCCACCAACTTCATCTTTTTAATGTCCGCCATATTCTGTGGTTACAGGGGAGAAGACCATGGATGTATAATAAGAACTGGATACAGCGTGGGAGGCGGGGTCTCGTTCATTCCTATGAGAGTTGCTCATTGGCGCATGAAGACAAAATGGCCCAACTTTTGAGAGAGCGAAACGTCACGAAAGTATTCATATAATCATAGAATCCGTTCTTATTGTGCATCCATGGGTAAAGGTAAAACTCATGTAGTGCTGAACACGTCACATGAACGTGCCGGGCGGCGCGGTCCCGTGGGTTAGATGTGCGTTCATAATGCCGAGGAAAATAACTCTCAGAATAACGTTATTAGCACATTTTACAACTTGAGGACCGAATGTTTTTAATAAGGGCTATATAAACGTTCATACTGGGTAGTTTATTTAGTTTAAAAAAAAGTATCCAACGATTTACAGACGTCTCTTTCCCAATGTTAGTCAATGGGAAAAAGTCTTTCCGGGCCCAGCGACTGATACGGAAGTGTAGTACCGCCGTTTGGCCACAACGAATATTTTCCTCAGAGTCCGGCGCACTTCCTGGGGGCTTGGAGAAGACGGCAAGATGTTCACATTAGAGGTTTCTCAATACTTTAATTTCCCCTCCTCGACTCCTCGGTCCTCCGGTATGTTGTGTTGAAGGACATCTCATTTCTCTAAATGCACTTCGAGGACCGAGCATCGAGGAGGCTCTCTGGAGGAGCTCTAACCGAGGATACACTGATGGTTCCTCCACGGCTCCTCCGCGGACGCATTTCCTGGAACGGTGGAGGCGTGACGCACGGCCGGACTTATCTCAGCCAATGACAGCTCTGCATGCATCCCCTGGATATTATTTTAGTAGTGCAGATTATCCATTTACTTTGAAAACATCAATTTATTGGAGAAATTTTTTTTTAACAGTATGTTCAAAAAAACCAATAAAAAAGCAATGTTATAATAAAAACAAAACAAAAATTAATAATAATAAAAAAATAATCGTTATATTTCGATTACGTTGTTTTCGTAATCGTTGCAAGCCATAATCGTAATTGCGATTAAAATACGATTAATTGAGCAGCCCTAGTAGGTGCGTGTTGTACAGTGCGTAGATGCGGCGGACGGACTCAGTTGGTTTGGTGTCCTAAGCTTACTTTTAATACTTGTGAATACAACTTTGGGCCCGTAATTTCAATTCCCCATTTCAGCGACCAGAGAGAGGGGGGGGGATATATCCAGTCTCTGATAGTGTGGCATGGTGTACCGATACTTGAAAGGTACCGCGATACCCTGCCGTTAAAAACGTTACGATTCCTCTGTTTCATTAGTATCGGTACTTTAAAAATGACGGGGAAAAGTACTCCGGTGAGAAAGCGCTGTTTTAATAAGAGCCGTGTGTGTTCAGCGCTCTGCTTCCACTCCCTGCACTGCAGCCGTGCCTGCAGTCCCTCCCCTCTCAAGCACGCTCTAAGTACCTCCCATCTCTCGTGCACGCGCTAGCTGCCAGAGCATGTGAGAAAACGAGAAGCATGGCGGCAAGTGGGAGTGCAACTGCCGCTGTGCCTCGGCTTGTTGACAAAAAAGACGCCAGAAGCGAAATTTGGAAGTATTTGAGCGATATCTCTGACAGTGAGGGCAAGCCTACGGACACCACGAGGCCTGTCTGTGAGAAATGTTTTAGATCCCTGCAAACCAAGGGAGCCAACACATCAAACTAGGCTAAGCACCTCGCCGACCGACATTCAGAGCTGTTTAAAGAATTTAAAGACAGACAGGTTAGCGAATGTGATAGATAACATAATTACATCATACTCAAGCCCATGCCCTCAAATCTAAGTCAAACAAGTGTAATTTATTTTGTGACAAACGAACGTTTTCGTAGTTTGACGAGGCAATTCATGGCAATGATAACTGTCTAATATGCTATCTTTTTAGCTAACTTACCAATGTGGCTAACATCTGCAATGTACATTTGGTCAATAATTATTTATATTACTGTAATATTACATGTTAATAAAATATAAAGTTAACTATCAAAGAAATCCCATAAACTCAAGTATAAAGAAGAGACCATGTTGTAAGAAAACACTTAACAGATAAACTACAATTGTATTGATCATGAAAATAATAAAAGAAAAGTATCGAAAAAGAATCGGAATCGCAATTCTTGACTTGGTATCGGTATCGAAACCAAAATGTTGGTATCGTGACAACACTAGTCTCTGATAGTGTTACGTTATTATGAGAGTGCTCTCATACTTTAAATTGTATATATTTATATAAATATATTTGTGTGTGTGTGTGTGTGTCCGCATCTGTAGCCTGTTATTGTCTCATTATACCGCACTGTGAATGAATCAAAGTAAATATATAAGTCGTCATGAACACATCTGTCCATCAGACAGAGTGCTGCTGTGCCTCCTGTCATCATTAATGGACGTCTCTTTAAAATGACCGCTCAGAGGAGAGGAGTTCTCATTTCTCTAACCGCCTGCTGCTTCCCCTCCTCTCTCCTCGGTTCCCCTCCTCGGCTCCTCCGCTCGCATCTCCTGTGGGCGGGACTAGGAGGATAGGAGTCGAGGAGGGGAGTTAGAGAAATGAGAAAGGGCCTAAGTCTCGAGGATAGGAGTTGAGGATAGGAGTAGAGGAGGGGAAATTAGAGTATTGAGAAGCCTCTATTGATAACTGCATTTTGACTTGATGTAAGAAACTTTGATTTTGTTACCGCCCTGTTTACTCACAATCCCATGTTTCTGTAGGAGGTCGATGTCCTGGAAGAAGGACTCCTGTTTCAGAGAAAGAGAAAATATACATGAGGTAGTTTCTGAGGAGTAAACCAAATTATTGAAAAATATCAAGCATAACTTTAAGAGTGTGCTGAAGACTTTCCTTTAAAAAAAAAAAAAAGCACATACAGTAGCTAGAGCTGGTTTAAGGTCACACTATGTTTGCCCTCCTAAGTCCTACATCTTATAGTATTTCATTGTTTTAATTTTCTTTTTGTTTGTATTTTAAATGTATCTTTTGTCTTCTATCTTATCTTTTTATAATTTTCTTGACATTGTATTTATCTTTTAGCACTGTCCATGTTTGTTCATCTGTAAAGCCCACTGAGACGAATGTGTTTTGTGATATTGGGCTATATGAATACACTTTAAATTGATTTGATAACTTACTAACACATTATTTAAAGATATATAAAGTTGTCTCGCTTTTTTCTAGTGTTTGCACCTATATGGCAGTTTTTATTTTAAATTGGAACTATTTATTTATGTTATGTATTATATTGATTTATGGACAGTTTGGTCATTTAAATTCTTTAGAAAGGATCTTAATTAGCATTGATGGCTAGTTATTTAACTTGTACAGCTATGGGTATTTTCTAGTCAGGGAAAGCCAATGTTAGTTAGCATAGATTTATTAAATGCTATAATTTAATCATAATGTAAAAAAATAAAGCATTATCTCACCTCATCATCCTGGAAACCAGTGTCCTCTTCAACAACCTGGTCCTCTGCAGCTTTCATTTTGATGTTACCGTTAGTATAAACAAATTAAAGTTTAAAAATGTTTAGCTTTTAGCTAAGCTAACGTTAGCTTCTACCTTTATGAATACCTTAATGTCAAACTGCTAATTTAACTGTTGAAGACATAAATAAAACTGTCAGTAAAACCGGATAAACTGTAAATTCGCTTAATAAGTTCAATTATTCAATTACATTGGCTAGAAAAAGACAATAATCTTAAGATATTGACTAAAAAGAATGTAAGTTTTAACAAAGCGTAGTTATCTTTGTTCCTTTGAAGGCTTTGCACACGGCCACTGGCGGGAAATATGATTTCGTTTATTAAAGTGCACTCGGAAATTAGAAAATGATATGTTTAGAGAACATAAATAATGGACGTATACTAAACGGTTTAATTCCTTAAGATGTATGTCTGTGAAATTGCAGAAGTGTACAATTCAACAAATTAATTAACAATAATTTAATATCTTTGTAATGCTAATTAGTAACTGTTTTAAACTAAAAACAACAGAGGCTCCCTTCACAACCCACATGAACGAGGGCTCAAAAAGAGCAGTGAATGCAGCATTTGATACAGGCAAAAACTGCTTATTTTCAGTGTCGTTTTAAAGAACTACAAACATGGCATATTTCTTTGCCAGTTTTGAAAATACGATTCAAAAGAAATCGGTTAAGGTTAATCTTATACTCCTATATTGTTGTATTTTATTAATCCTTTATGGTGTGTTTATTAAGGTTGAGCAAATACACCCCCCACATCCCGAAGTAAACACATAGCTTTCCATTGTTTTGGTGTTTAATTACCGCAGTCATGAACACAAAAAACAGATGTGGGTTTGCATACTGAACAGAGGTAATAGATTGTAAATGCACATGGATGAAAACAGAAAAAATAACATTCTCTGCAGACGTCTGCAATGTCGGGGCAACATTGAGACAATTAGCGTCAAAACTTCTCCAAACAGATTTATCCAAAACCTTTTCACACGTTTTCAATGAGAAAATAACTCCGCTTTCATCATACGATCAATGGAAAAAGGACCACACAATCTTTTAATTTTTAAAAAGCATTGTATCTGGAGTTGTTGGGTTATACAATCCATTGCTTAAAACCAGAGCAGTATGATAAAACCGTGAAGTGAGAGGCATTGCACTGACAAACATTTTTGAACTGTGACAGATGTACAGATAGGAATGTTCCTCAAGGTCACATTCCTACAAGTTAATCTTCATCAAACCTGTCTTGTCAGATATTTTTAATTAACACAATTCTCCAAGTAGAAGTGTAACTAGCAAGCACATGATGATGGAAATGCCAACATACTGCGAGTAAAAAAACGTTCTCCACACTGCAAACACCAAAGACAGACGATTTGATAACCTTTTTTTTCTTTCAATGCATCCACTTGCACCTGCTATCCCCTAAAGAAAACATTATTTATGTTGATAGATTTATTTTTAAAAAAAGGAAAAAGAAAATAGAAGCAGTGCTCCTGGAAATAAGTCTCTGCATGATGTTGGAGTAAGGAGAGACAGTGAGAGGGAAACGCATCAGATCCTCCTCCTCCAATCCCATTGGTCGATCCATTGCATTGGAGTGAGCCTGTCATGCCGTTTCTTTGCAGCTTTTGCTTCCCATTAATATTTTAACTGCAGTTCTTTGCCCTTCTCCATGCTCTCTCTGTCTCTCCTTGCGACCGGCCCCGGCTGTATCGCTGGCAGCAGATCTCAGGTTCATGTCGGCCCTTCTTGTTTCTCACATCTTTCCAAGTGCAGGAGGCATCATGCCCGGCATCCCCCCAGACATCCCAGTGTTCGGCCCCAACAGGATCTGGAAAAGAGAGAGTCCGTCACTCAGGTTGTTCATCAATGTGCTCGTCACGTACAGTATGTTTAATCATTAGAATGTGTAGGTCTTAAATGGTATTAAGCTGAATTCACAACATTGGTATTCAAATGATATAATAAACCTTGGGTGGCTTTGTGACGTGCAACAACAATGTTTCTCGTAAGGTCTCCCTTTCTGTTGGTCGCTTGTTAGCAGACCCTTCACGCGATAGCGAACAGGTACAGGAGGCGTAGAGCGAGGGATCATTGTCCACTAGTTAATCGATCGCAGATGGCGTCGTGCTCGCGGACGGATTAAAAATGATAATAATCACAAACCTAAATGGGTCGCAATATATACTTTGGCGGCCCGCCCAAGTAAAGTCTATGTGTGGAAAACCCTGAAATATGTGAATATATTATCATCATTTATTTTTTGCACATTCTGTCTTCATTTCTTATGTTTATATATCTTTGTTCATCTTCTTGTATGCATGCCATAAAACCCAATTGACTCGGGTTTAAATAAAGTCTTCTGATACCGAACAGCTACTCTTTTGAACGTCTATTCATTCTGTGCGACCTTGGTTTCTCTGCACCGTTGCAGATAGAGATGAGCCCACAAATAATATTAGAATTAGATTACAGAGGTGGCTGCTTGGTATTGTTTTGAACTCATGTGACCCAAACTTTTCCCATAACTCCATGGCATGAAGCACAAGATTCAAAATGTGTTGACAGATAAATGTAATCATTCCTAATATCGGAACATGTTGTTAACAAAACAATATACTGCTTTAATCCATTTCTGTAGGGGGTTAACCATTCAAAAAGAACATGTTTAATTTTAAATAATAGTTTTCCTGCTTGCCGCACACAGACTAATGTTCCCCATTTAATCAGTGACTTTCAAAGCTTCAATGGGACACTTCAATAAAGCTTTGATGTGTTGATTGGTTATCGTAAATGCACGAAGAGTCTCACTTGTCTCTGCTGTTGTAGCTGCTGCTGCTCTAGCTGTAGTCTTTCCGTCTCAAACACAACAGGAAGTACCAAGATCATGAAGGAGGTAGTGCCGACCCAGAGCGCCGTGCGAGAAAAACTGAAACGAGATAACAAACTGGTTAGTTATGGATTTTAGAGACATGCTGAAAAAAATGTGACTTTTGCACCCATTAGTGGCTATTATCCTTTCTGTTGTGAATAACTGCTGCTGGGATCAGACCATGGATCAGACCCATGAATTAGCAGTTTAATCTGTTGATCCACTGGACTCTCTGACGCACTGTACACATTCCTGCAATAAAATGGTTTATCCGGAGATTTACCTGTAAAACTGCTTGGCCAGTGAGACAGAGCATTGTGCAGAGACCTCAGCAGCGGTGCGGACGGTGTCAGGGAACATCTCCGTCAGACCCCACAACCTCTCCATCATGGTCTCATCCAGCTGAAGGTGACAAACACAAACATTAAGACATGAAGCTTTGGTGCAAAAACACTGAGATTTAAAAATCTAACATTTCATTCATATATACAATCATAACTATGAAAATAACACTAATTAATAGGAATAAAAAGGCATGCAGAAGGATATATAGCCTCATTAATCTATAATCTTGGTTAATACAGTTTTCCATCCTGTAGTTTGCTGCAAGTTTATGAAGCTTGTGTGAGCCAGTGGCACCTTGTTAGATACTCACATACAATTATAGTGAAATAACACTGAACACTAGCTTCAATTAGTTAATAATAGTGTATAACTGCAACACAGTTTTCAGTCATAACCTCAGGTGGCTAACTAGCTAGTTAGCATTGGTGCCATGTTAGCACATCTTAGCTAAGAGAAGAACAAGGTAGACAAATACATTAAAACTGTATTTAATGTTAGTTTTTTTAACCCCATTGTAGATGTTTCCAAGTATGATTAGCCACTTACATATTCATCCTCGTCGTCATCTATCTCGTCCTCCAGGGGCCGGGTAGACAGCGGGCCCGCATCGGGGGAAAGCTCTTCAATTTGGGGCATGTTTCTCGCGCCGGACCGCTGCTTTTTACCGGGTTAAAATAGCTGTTTACAAGTGGCTAGAAGACGCGGTAAATCCAACAAGCTGTTCTTCGTGTTTTTATTAAGATTTCCTAGCAGTCTTTCATTAAAGCTAATGCTAGGAGGAGGCGTGCATTTGATGCAACGACAGTCCGAGGTCACAGTGGGAAAAACGTGAAGCTTGTCAGGGACGGATGACGTAAGCGGGGCAGGGGTCAGTTTGTACGGTGGCCGGGAGTGAACAGCGCCCCCTGTGGAGGTGGAGGTGTAACAGCAGCCTGTGGTGTCAATACAGTTTCTTGCCACACATTTTTATTTTGCTGTATGGTGGTGCAAATATAAACAACAAAAGGTAATAAGTTGTAAGAGCAGATCAAAAATAGAACAATTATAAATAGAAAATATAACAAAAATAATACAGACAAGTATTTACACCAAATATACCAAATAAACTAAAACTTCGTACAATGAATACATGACAATATATGACAAACTGCAGTGTATTATATTTTAAAGTGGAGGGCTGTGCTGATTTTTAGAGAGGTTGTGATGTATAGAAATGTGCAAAATATATTCAGAGAGATGAACATGGCTCACAGTATTAAAATAATAATAATATAATATTAGGTGTTTAGCTGTATTGTATTTTATATGACGTACAGTAGTATAATATATATATGTTCTCGTCCCGGTTATCACATCATTCATTTTCAATGCTGTACATATGTTTGTGTGAAAGAAGTAAGTTGTCATTTTCTTATAGCAATTGTTTTTCTTGTGAGTTTATTTTATCTTCTGATTTTTTTTATTAGTTTGTTCCTTTTTTACAACTTAATGTCTCTCATTGTGTTCACTATATAAATCAGGGGTGTCAAACTCAATTTCATCACGGGCCACATCAGCATTATGGTTGCACTCAAAGGGCCGGTTGTAACTTTAAGACTATATAAAAATACATAATATGCTTAATAAAGTATGTATTATTATATAACATATATCACATTATTCCCTCTGCATTGGATTATTATCTGATAGGGTAATAACTTCATAATTAACTACGTCTGAAAGCAGAAGTCTATAGGGCAAATAATTGCAAGACTCTTCAGTAAGAATGTCACAAAATGATTTAAAAAGTGTCAAAGTGACATTTTGGTAACATTTTGAAAAAAAAGTGACATTTTGAAAAAAAGAATCTAATTCTGAGAAAAAAATCAAATTTGAGATGCATTGTGGGACATGTAGTTTATGGACAACATGCTTCTGTAAAGTAGCATGTAACCGTATAATAAACGTATTATATTCTTTGCAAGCTCTTGTGGGGCCACAGAAAATGAAGTCACGGGCCGGATCTGGCCCCCGGGCCTTGAGTTTGACACCCCTGATATAAATCAAGGCAAATTCATGGTATTTAAATAGTAAATACAACTTATTTTAAAACTGTGTCTTTAAATAAAGCACTTATAAATCACAAAACCAAAATACATTGTAATTTCACCAAATAAGCATTAGTAAAACATGTAGTCAAAACACTGAATTAGATTTGTTAGAGCACTCACTAATGATTTAAATGTATTAAAGATCAGTAGAAAACTCAAAAATTGTTAGAACATTAAAAACACAACAATATAGGACAATCTGAGTACCATGTTTTGGCAATACATATGGTCTATTTTGTGTTTATCATGGCAGATTTTCCATCGCTGGATAACAAGCAGGAAATAAATCACTAAAAAATATTCACTA